AAGAGGGTAGGGGGGGGGGTCTCCCACTCGAATGTTATAAAACTGTTTACCTGTACCTGTTTAATACTACCTGATGATCAGCCAATAGTTATCTTGTGTATACACTGATAAATCTCACAAAGACCACATGTAAACCAGATTTTTCATGGATAAGGTGCGCTGACCAGTCAGGTGTGTGACCTCGAGGTCATCAAGGTGCAAGATTGGTCCAGGGACCAGTTTCGCAGGAGCACTTCAGTCCCAAAGTTGTCTTGAATTTCAGACCATTTTTTGACTCAGGCTAAAAATTCAGTGACATAATGCTTCTGCCTCATATAAAGGAAAGATAGTATGCTTTTTACCAACAGTTCATTTTTTAAAAGTGAAGACCAAAATTGCAGTGGTTTAAGTACATTGAATGATAATTGGATTATGAATTTATTCTAATTTTGAAGAATGATGAAAAGAATGTTTTAGCTGCTCACTAATGCTACAAGGCCCACCATCCAAGACATCCAAATCTTTGACAAGAACTGACCTGAAGGTTATCTTTAAATACCTAGTTATCACCCAAACACACACATGAATCTACTTTGGTTTACACCCAGACAACAGTGACACAAGTATGAGAGTATTTACACATCATTTTCTGTGATCTAGTCTTAATTCGCTTCAGATTTATGAAGTTAATATGAAGTAAAGTCTCTGGATCTGCGGGTCTGGGCCATTGTTGATCAGGATTTGCTTTTCACACATGGTCTTAGTACATTCAGGTTGAAATTAAGAGCATAAATAGTTTGTATAAGTTACCAGGTTGTGATCCAACTGGCTGTTTTCAAAATTTTCTAAAACTGTGTGTGAACTGGACCTAGCTGAGATCAGATAAGTCAGAACCACTGTAGAATAAACAGTTCAATTAAAGCGATAAAATTCCACCTTGTTAAACTAGATGCTATGATGTGGGTATCGATGTGAAAATAAAAGAGAGCCCAAACCCATTAAAATAGAAAAGAATAGGCATAAATAGGCAGAGAACAAGTTTCTGAACTGAAAGATTGGTATTGCTTAGTTTATGTGAGAGATCATGACTCTTGAATGTCTTGATTTTATTTAAAAAAATAATAAAATGGTAGGTGCACCATCTTCTCCCTGTCTCTGTAGAATAGTACAGGTTAAATTCCATGAACATCATAATTTGAAGGAAAGTGAAGGAAATACTTAGTGACAAGCTTACTGATAACTACGAAGTCTGTTTATTGAATAAATTCAAGATTAAGGGTGGAGTTACCAAAATGGGGGCACATCACCTCATAATGATTTTCACAAAATTAAAGATATATTGGATTCCTTATGTAGTCTGGTACAGCCTTTTTCCTTCAACACTTATCAGTTCACCTGTCATCACTGTGTTCATGGCCGCCCACTGGAATGAAAGAGCTGCCCATTAAAATGTACATTACACATCAGATATGCATTCAGGAGCATGGTTACAGTGTTATGGGTCATGATGATGGTCAATTAGTGACCACCAGGGGTCAGGACTCCTGAAAAACTGTGGCTAGTATGGCAAATCGGATAAAAGCACCTGCACAATTGTATATCAGTTCATGTATGGAAAGTGCAATTTTTATATCGCTCAAAAGACAGAAAATAAACAGATGGTTAGTCATGGAAAAAATTTCTGAATTCCACATGTTATTTCTGTTGAAGAAGAATCTCCATTGTGAGATCCCATGTCCTCCTGTGTTTGCCATATATTATGTTATCAGGTAGCTTGACTCCATGCAGATTCTGATACATGTAATGATTAAATACTGATTCAACAAACAGATAACAAGGGGTTAAAGTTAGTCCAAGCTGTAATCTGGTCACAATATTGCATTTGACTGAAAAATGGCAGGAAATTGAGACAGCCACTTGTTTGTCAGTCACCATGCTTCCCTCTCTCATTTCCACCTTGTAGTATCAATGCTTGTTTTATTTTGATATGGGTATATCAAGGTTCAAACGGGGGCCTCTCGATAGTCCGAAGGTTCATTGGTCCGAAGGTTCATTGGTCCGAAAAGTGGTAACATTTTCATCGATTTTTTAAACAAGGGTTCATTGGTCCGAAGGTTCTATAGTGAACATTCGGACCAATGAACCTTCGGACTATTGAACCTTCGGACTATCGCTTCGGCCCCGTTCAAACAACAATAATAATTTGATGAGTGTAAAAAAGTGACAAGACACATCAATTGACAATGACAATGGTTCTGATTAGTGTTCAAAATGTAGATGAAATATTTATCATTCGACCTCAAAATATGTAGCTATTTTTTCAGACTGGATGGTGCTGTGACTGAAATCCAAAGCAATCATAGCAATTATAGATACATCACAGCATTATCTATATAAGCTGTTATGTACATATGGGTAATGCATGGAAATAAACCTGTAGTCAAGTACAGGTGTTACTTCCAACAAACACACACACAATGGCCACACACACACACACACACACACACACACACACACACACACGTGCAGTCACATACACACACACATACACTTTCATGGTCACAGGTGCACTTGCATTCACATAGATTTGAACAGTTTGAATTTTCAAAAAGGAACAAAAAAAGGCAGATAACTTCACCACTGGTTATAAACTAAGTCAGGCTGATTTCAGCATTGTACATGCTCTCCTTCTTTCAATACTGGATAATATTGCACCAATGCGGGTTCATTGATATCACAGGTATATAACTTTGTATCCACCTATCAGTGAACTGTGTAAGGTTAGATATGACATGTCATAAAATCTTGATGATAACAGCTGTGGTCACGGAACAGGTGTATTGACTTGAAACAAGGCCATGTGCTTTCAAAGTATATGTTAAAAGCTGATGCTATCTGAAAAGCTTCTTTTATTGGTGTTAATACATTTTACTGCTAGTACTATTTCACTTCTACATCAAAAGCAAGTAAAAAGTGGCAAATTGTGGGTATATGTGGGTGCAACCCTGTGTTTCATAGCACTGATTTACATATAACTTGAAAAGGTAATAATGATAATGAGGGGGGGGGGGGATTTTATTTAACTCTTAAAATCAATGTTAATTTAAAAAATTATAACACATCAAAAATATAACTACCTGGTTTTCAGACATATGATGCTGGTTTGATATCTGCATTTTATATCTTGGTTTCTTGATTTTTTATTTGTTTGTTTTATGCTTTAAACTAATTGGTGTTAGGAGAAGAGTAGAATTATGTATGCTTTTGAACATTTCTCTGTCACAACTTACCCCAGCATAGCTTTTTTACACTTGTAACTCTATACTTAATGTGTCTTAACAAAACCTTTTCAATTTTTTCTTCTCAAGGTACAATTAGCATTATAGTCTCAAAATACCAGACAAACCCAAGCATGGAGCTGGGAGTCAAAACAGCCCACAATTACTCCCCAAACACAGCAAAGTAGTAACTGTCAATGCTTTTATATTGTGAGACACAATATTATTCTGGCTAGGGCTAAAGTCAAGGTGTCCCCATACAGTAGTCATACAAACAGAACTACTGGGCTAGGTAAATAGACTTCTCCCTTAAGTAACACACCTCATTTAGGCAAATCCATTAAGTGAGCTGTTAGTGTTCAGGGACCATGGTGTCTGTTACCGGCTACAAGCTCTTAAATGAGAGAATGAGTCCCGGGGTCAAGGAAATGACCCCACAAGTTGAGATTAAAGAGAAAATGTGTGGCTAGGGGGAGAAAATGGGAGCTGGGATATGCAAGGGGTTGGATACAATAATCTTAAACAGTTTAAGTTAATTTTTAAGATTTATGTACAAGCAGTAAAGAATTAGTCTCTTCTGGCATGCAGCAATGCAGTATCATAATAATAATAATAATATTTATTTCTAGTAAAGCACATTCCATTTTCATACATTTGAGACATGCCCTTAAGATATCAGTAAAAACTTGATTACATTTTGTAAATACTATCTTAGAGCAATATTTTTGATGTTTTAGTGTATCGGCAAACATTTGAACATCAAGAGAGCCCCTCTGTAAGACTGTTTTCCAAGTGGAAAAATTGGCCAAGAATATTGAACAACATGCTTCTTACCACAGAAATTGCCCTCTCTACTTCTGTTGGCTTTCCCATTTAACCAGCAGACTTTGAGCAAATACCTAGCATGTGACAATACATTGCTTGTATTGCAAAGCTGTTTGTTTAATATAATGGAAAATGCAATAATGTAAGCGTTATGCGAAAAGCATCTCAGCCACAGAATTGCCTGTCTTGATAGACCACCTCTGTTGTTGACCCTGTTCCTAAGCCGGGGTGTGCTCTTTTACCCCTGGGGGTGTTAAACCATCCACTTTAGTCACTGGTAAACTGAGAAAGATAATGAAGAAATAACAGTCAACACTCCACACATCCTCCCCTAACAATGACAAGGAATTTTATCTCATAACTTTCAAAGGACTAAATTAAAGACTCTATTTGTCAAAATGACTTGTGATCAGAGTTGTAGAGTTAACTGTAGACACAGTTTTAGTATGATTACTCTATTTGTTAAAGTGCCTTATAAAATTGTAATCAATGTAGATAAAGAGATCTTTGTTTTTAAACTAAAAGTAATCAATGTTGTTTGTATAGCTTTGAGTGTTTCATGTGAATAAGAACTTAGAAACACAACAGATAGGTGATAAGGCAAGTCAAGTACAAATTAAAAATCTTGTGTATCTTATCAATTAAGGTTATATTTATGTAATCAATTGTTATTCACTGTTAGTCTCCCAGTATGACAAAATAAGGTAAAAAAAGGCTACTGTTTGTCCTTATAATGATGCAATTAATTCAAATTTGCATTACTGCTGCACTAATAAAACCTTTAAAAATGAATATCTGCAGCCTGCAAACTTTTAGGGATTTTAATAACTAAATGATGAAATACTTTATATTGGTGAAAATTATTGTTTCTAATTTCTAGAATAATAATCATTAATCCTATTTTATTTAATTTTTCAGGTGAGCACCATCACCGTTTTAACCTCACAGCACCTGCCGTTTACTATGTCTTCTCTGGAGATGTACAGGTTCGTTATGAAATGCCACTAGACCTGAATCTCCCAAGTGGAGTAATTGAGCTTTACTCTTACTACAATGCCACCTATACTTACGTCTATCGCCAAAGTTTGCCTGGTGACGCCAAAAAGGGAACCATCAGTTTTATATGTGGGATCATTGACAGTGCTGGTAAATATGTCTTTCGGTTGTACACCCATCCAAATGGCGAATTACTTTCCTCAACCAAAATCATGAATGCACAATGGCCCAATTTTGACTTTTTATTACCACGTGTCCATACTGCTCTTACAACCAATATTGCCATATCATTTCGGTCAAGTGGTGCTGGTTGCAATTCTCAGCAACCATTAAGTAAGTTTTGGATTGAAGTTGTCCACTATGGCAGGCTGAGCAACAAAACTGTACTGAAGGAGCCTTCAGTAGTGAAGAAGTTTGAGATCAAGGAATTAACCAGACTGGTCACAAATAGTAAAATAGTGCCATGCAAGCTCATTGACTTGGATGGCGAGTACAGAGCACTGCTGAAATCCAACCACAATGGAGAAACTTTGATTGCTCAGTCCAACAGTATGAAGGTGGAATGGAGTGAACGGTACACCCTCCTCATACCATATTCCAGTGTCTTTCCATATTGCCGAAACGCCATGGGGGTTGCATACTCCCATCCGCAATGCATTGGCGATAACGATAAGGTGCGAATGTTTGCCCAGGAACAGGCTGCCTCTGGCTCTATTGCTTCTCCGACCAGTTTGACTTATGTTACCGAGCGGAGGGTGAGAAGAGACAAGGGATCAGTGACATTTGAGTGTGATCTGTTTCATTTTTCCATGTTACGCTACTGTTTCAAATACATCAGTGTGGCCAACAATGGTGCGGTAACTGAACAAGTGCTCAAGTGCGTTGCAACAAAAGATGGTGCAGGTAAGTCAGTGTTGTCATTGTTGTTGTTGTTGTTTCTGCTTCTTCTGTTGTTACTGCTATCATTGTTGTTGCTGTTTTTAATGCCTTTGTATTATAAATTTGGCATTTTGATTTAGAGCAGTCATTTACTTCCTTAGTGACAGATGTTGTCAAGAACTATTCTCCCACAAATTGCATCACATGATTTGAAAATTTGCTATTTCTCTTATTGTTTTTGTTCCCATAGGTACATAGTTTCAGATGAAGCAGTTAATCTCAGATGTTGCTGTTGTTGGTTGTGCTGCCATATACATTTTCAATGCTGCCGTTTTTTTATTGTTAAACTGCTTATTTGAATTCTATCATTTTTGGTGTGTTACAGAAGACTGATTCCCTGCTTCCTTTTCCTTTTTATTATTTTTAAGGAAAACATATCTGGACCCTAATTTTGGTGCTGTATGTTAGATATCATCTCTGATATTGAACATTGTTGAACATAATTCATTGGAATGAAAAACTTATGGTCAATCTAGCAAAAGTTTTACTTAGTTCATTTTTTATTTGCCAGGAGCCCCAGTTTGTCTTCTCAGCAATGCTATTAGTGTTGAGCCATTTATGTTTGCCACATTTTTATTAACCTATTTTATCTTGCACTTGTGTGAAGAGAGGAGTGCTTTTTAGTCTATTCCTGAGTTATGCAAAGTTAGAGTATTTTGCATGTTGCCCATTTTTATTTAAAACATCACCTCAAAAGTTTTGAACGAAAGCAAGATTCCTGAAATACTGCATAACACAGCTTGATGGATTAAATATAACTGACATGAAATTGAAAAAGAACTGATGTAAAAACTAACTATTGTGTCCAATATCCATGGCAACCTTATACTTACAACACTACATATTTTAAATGTGAATATCTAAAACTTTTTTTGGTGTGAGGGAAAAAATCCATCTCCGTCTACAGTCACAATTTCAGAGCATGTAGCCACAGCTGGAATCACATCAAAATATTCAAAACTAGACAGAAAAGATTATAAAAAATAAGAAAAAAATAGCCAAGTTAACCGTTGCCTGGTAGCATTCTACCAAATAAACACTCCTATATGGTACCAAACAAATGCATAATTTATTCATAAAAAAAAAAAGAGGTGAAAAGAATCAAAATAAGAAAGAAATTGGAATGAAATGAATAATCCCACAATCAGGCAGTATGCTGTCAAATAATCACATCTATATTTGCCCCTTTTTTGATAAATAAAAATACAATAAGATAGGCCCAAATAACAAATTCATTTCCACCATGCACACCTCAGGACAATAAGCATCAAAACCATCACATATATAAAAAAATATTTAAAGGGATAGAAAAACAATTGTTGAAAAAGTAGAAAAAAGTGACATTAGGCAGGTAGTTAGGCAGGGTGCCATCCAGTGGCTCCGCCTATTTTAGATGCCTTCACATCCCAGGGGGGATAAACAGCACCATAATCCTGTCAGTTGTCAGAAATCACCGCCCCTTGGAAAAAACTCTTCAAAGGAGCAGGTGATATAATGAAATAAACTTTCCTCAAAGGGTGAGAATTTAATAAGATTTTTTTTCGTAGCTGGTGGGAATTTTCTGAAGCGTGCTAATCCTAATCAAAATGTCAAAAAGAGCTTGAAACTAATTTTTTCAAGACCCAGTTGAATCCTTAAAGTTGATATACATGTATGACTGTGGGAGCTAGTAGAATGTAATGTAAAAGAATGAACACATTTAGACTTAAGTATCTTTTTTTCTTTGCATATATCCTGCATGATGCGGTTACTTGCCACCTATGGAAAAAATAAATTTTTAAAACTACATAACCCTTACTTGAAGCCTACCTGCTAAGAATATCAGGTGGACCAAGGTAAATGTTGTAGAAACAGCTTACTTTTACAGTCTTCCCATAGATCCTGGATTGAAGCCCTACAAGTTTTAGCCAGTTAAGTATGTCTTCCATTTAGGTGAAGGCGTGTCTTCTATTTAGTTTCCCTGCGTATACTTGAACCCTTTGTTTCATAGTCATAGTAATGATTCCTACTTCATGTTGTGTATGCTTTGATGTCTATATAACAGTTAGGTTAAGGCAAATGGATATTTTTCTGAATCAACAAATGTTGTCCTGTTGCTAGAGGTAAATAAGTGACAAAACAGAGACATATATATCTTTCTAGGAATAGGGTTGGTGGTGGTAGAAACCTCCTCGGGGAGGGGGGGGGGGCACAAGGGGCAGGTTTGACAAGTACCATGTTTGCTGCTATTTGGCCTATTGAAAATTCAGTGATATATAAATTAACCATACTCACTTTTTTTTTTAATGCAGCTAGGTAAAACTGAACTTAAGGGATTGATCCAGTGATAGTGAGACAGATATGGACATTGTAAACTGTGATAAAGAGAATCACCATTATAATTCTGAAAGTCAGGGTGCAGCAATAAATACTCTTAGACTAGTACTTAGCCAGAGGAGAAAAAATTCACAATTGCTCGCAATAAAAAAGCAAAGATAAGCCTTGGCTGTTAAAACCATACTTGCATTTGTATCAGTTTTTTATTACAGTGCCCTCTAGCTAAGTATACTTTTATGAGGTTATTTCCTGGTAATCTGATCGCAGGTGCAGGGGCAAATATCTAGGAAATCATACCAAAATGTAACTTCCATGTGTCATATAACTAGTAGCTGAGTTAATGAATTAAGTAATGTTGTGTGAGACCTTGAAAATAGGAGTGTTTGGCTCAGTTTAGACTGAGGGAGATATTACTGATATTTGACACTGACTAAATACCAGTACATCTTGACACCATTCATCTAGCCCCATCATCTGCATGTACTTAAATCACAGAAGCTACAAAACAATTAAAAGATAGTTATAAAAATCACCTACACCTACCCCAAGTTTCAAGACAGTGCCTGCCAGATTCATTATTTAAAAAAATTTGCATACTGCTAGTGCCAGTGATTGTGCAGTTATTGGATAAGTGCTTTACTTGACATAAAGAAGAACTTGGCATCAAGAAGCTGGGACATATCAGATCTGAAACTCAGGGTAGCAGCCCCTCCTCCCACCCCCATATAAAATCTTCTGATCATCTGCTTACTTGTACTCAAAACATATGAGGGTACAGCTTCAAAGCGCCATACCTAAAATGGTTCCAGATTTGTTTCTTTTTTTTCCACTAGCTTGTCTGACTCCTGCATTCAAGGGTCATAAGTTCTATTTCCAAAGTATCTGATTAAAGAAAACAAACTTGATATTTTCCCTCTTATGTTACTAGTACTTGTATCCCTGACTGTGGATCTACTTGAAACACATTTAACTTGGGGAAAGAATGCAGCAATTTCACATAAGATTCTAGAGAAGATCAAAAACGTCCTGGTGAAAATTTTGTAGATCCTTGGAAATAAAGTTGAAAGGTTAAGATTTGCATTAGTATGTCATGAAGCATGTTCGTGTGAATGCATGCTTGTGTTCATCAGAGACATAAAAATTACTTCTCAATTCAACAGCAATTTCCTTAAGTCTCCAATCCAGCAGGTTTTTAATAATACAATCAATGCAATGAGGAAAAGCTCTGCATGTTGCCTTGGTAATTAGCTCAATCAGCTTGTCAGATGTCAATTCCAACCCATTTCAAAAACATACAAGTAAGGCACTTTAAATTTTTTTCTGGCTCTTCAGCTTACATCTTGGATATGTACTTATAATTATTAGACCATGCAGATTTTTAGAGTAGGAACAATATGTGTTCTTTTAGAAGACTACCAATAACCTGTTAACCTGCTGTACTCATATTTCTGAACTGAAATTCTTTTTTAAAAACACATCCATTTTAATGTATGCAAATTAGGCACACCCATGCAAAAGGAAACAAAGAACACTATTTCCAGGATTTTTTAAAAATTTGGATTCTACTGGGAGAAAATGGAATATGGTTCTGTTTACCAGAGGATTGTAATATTTGTTGACAGCCCTGTAAAATATAGCACAGGGGCAAACTGCCATGCTTGGAAGTGTATTTTAAGGGAACCCAGAAGTAAAAATAACCTGCCCAATTTTACACATGGCTTCAGTATAGAAAGTGCAAATATGCAAAAGTTACAGGGTGCTTGACTTTCATTTTCGAATTTGAAAAAATCTTGTCACTTAACATTTGCCTGATCTTTGTCAAGAATCAGATTTTAAGTTGGTAGAGATCAGCTTTCAATTCATAGATCGGTAAAAGTAAAATGATGCTGTAATTTTATCTTTGAGAAAGTAATCCCTTTAAAATTTCCTGAAACTTCGTATTTTAGTATTAGCAATATCTGAATGGTGTATGGATATGTAGTCCTTGTATTTTGTTTTATCCATGCTTTTTTCTTTGTATAGCAACATATACGGATACCTGTGACACTGCAGCAGTTATTACCTATTAAGCAAAAAATTCAACAATAAGGACAAAAAGTACCTTACACTTCCCATATGTAATCCTTACTTTTGTTTGATTCATGGAGAACATACCTTTGAATTTTAAGATAAATTTGAAAATATTTTTGTGATCTTGGTCTTTGTAAGTGATATTCTTGATGATCTCAGCACCTAAATCAGTAAACAAGAATAGAAAAGCATTTCTAATGAGTTATATGTTGCTTTCAATATAAGAATTTTTTTGATAGTCCCATACATTTTCTGTTTTAGAATATATTTCATTGTATTTTCATTTTTGACAAAACACTTCATTTGTAAAGAACCGTTATACCAATATCAGAAACAGAATATTGAAGCTATAANATGGGGTGTAAGTGACAAAACAAAGACATATATATCTTTCTAGGAATAGGGTTGGTGGTGGTAGAAACCTCCTCGGGGAGGGGGGGGGGCACAAGGGGCAGGTTTGACAAGTATCATGTTTGCTGCTATTTGGCCTATTGAAAATTCAGTGATATATAAATTAACCATACTCACTTTAAAAAAAAAAAAAATGCAGCTAGGTAAAACTGAATTTAAGGGATTGA